CCCCAACCCCTCCCCCCAGCTCCTAAACCCTGAAGGGGCCAGCCAGTCTTCAAATGTGTTCATCGCGACACTGGCATACTCAGAGCAGGTGGGCGCGCAGTGGATGCCAAATCCTTGGTTTAAACCGGGACGGCCCTCGGTCGGCGTTTCCGGGGGTCTCCCCAGGGACCAGGGTGGCCCGGTGCCAGGCAGACGGCTTTGCTGTGGATTCTTCTGGGCCTCGGAGGGTTTGACGCCTGAGCCACATCGGGTAGCTGCCGGGGTGCGCGACGGGGTGGGGGGCCCGGCCGGCCCTGCGAAGTGCACGCGCCACACTGGCAAAGTTAAGGCTCAGGTCCATGGCAGAATTTCGGGCTCAAACCCTCAGCGTTGTATCGTCTCAGGGTTGCGGGTGGCCCCCATCAGGAGCGGCGCGCATCAATGGCGGCGGCTGCATTAGCCACCACTGATGCGGGCCGCTCCCGGCTGCTGCGTCAGCCACCACTTTGTTGGAACGTTCCCGGCTGCTTCACACGCCGCGGCGAGGGCGCATCTTTGTCGCCGGGGTTCTGCCCACCAGCCCCACTACACACATGCGCGCACACACACCCACCCACACACACACACACACACGCTGAAGCACACACACACACACAAACACGCGCGCGTGCGCTGCAGTTGGTCCCGATCGTGGCGCATCGCCTGGCATGCACACCGAGAAGCCAACGGGACGGCGGCCCCGCAACCCAGCCTCCCCAAAAACAAACCCTCCCCGAAACCCCGGCCCCCAAAACCCGGTTTCCCCCTGAACCCGCTCCCCACCCCCCCAAACCTGACCTACAGGATGGCGACTCCACCGGCCAGAAGCTGGGGGGCGCGCTGCTCAACGCGGTCATCTTTGTGTGCATCGTGGCGGCGATGACTTTTGTGCTGTTCTTCCTCTTCAAATACAAGGTGGCCGCCGCGGCCCTGGAGTTGGAGCGCAGCCGCCAAGCTTGCCAAGCTTGGCGACAATGACGTAGTATCTCTTAGATTCTTGCAGAGCGCGGGGTGCTGCGTATCGCAGCTCGCGATTTTGTGTATTTGTTGTTGTTTGGGTCGTACTGGCTCGGGCAGGCGGTCGGCGTGGTCATTCCTCGACTCACTGCGTGCGCTTAGGGCGCCAGCCGCGCGTCGTGCCGATCATGGTCTCTCAGGGTCCCCGAACAGCGGCCGGTCTGGGCGGCCGCGGCTGCTCGGGGCCCGCTGCCACGCCCCAACCCCCGCGGCCCATCAGCCTTGGGGAATCTCTCAGCCCACACGCAGCCCCGCGACCCCTTGACACGAATGCTACTGTATCAAGGAGTCCCGAGAATGCAGCCCCCTCGACATCTCGTGCCCCAAATGGTACTCCCAAACCCCTGCACCATCACCAACTGAGCAATCATGTTTACCACCCGCCTGCCGCAGTGCTACCGCGTGATCTACGGCTACATGGGCTTTGCGGTTTTTGACATGTTCTTCGTCCTCACGGGGGCGGTCGTGCTGCGCGTGCTGCAGGTGGGCGTGCTTGCGGTCTATTGGGGCCCCAGGGGGGGCGGTGGCATCCCCACACGGCGTCCAGCCACCTGCGCGTGTGCCTGCTTTATGCAGGGGGAGGCGGTGCCCTGGCGGGCTGCAGCCGCCCTGGGTGTTCCTCCATTCTCACCCGGCCCTCGTCCCCTCTCCAAAACCCCGAGCCCTTGACCCTGCCTGCTCGACTTCCGCCTTCGCACCCTCAACCTGCCTCTCCGACCGCTCTGCCCCCCCACACTCCCTCACTCCCCTGCTTCCTACCCTCCACCCTGCCCCCGTTTGTCCCCAAAAATCTGCACACCCTGAGCGCTCACCCCCGCAC